ACAATCTCCATTTACGAACTCTAGATCCATGCCAAACTTTAACACAAGGAACGGCCCAATGTGGTCGGCATACATGCTAGTTCTCGGACTCTGGCTCGGCCCCTTCAACCGCCCTGACCAAACATCGAGGTGGGCCCACCAAGTTCATGACTCTTTTCCTCCTCGAAGCAGCGGTTTCCAGCTTCGTATTAGAATGCCATCCATCAAGACGATTGCCATGGTACGGGGCACAGGCCCAAAGACACTGAGTTCTCGTATCTCCAATGTCCCGTCTATACGAACATCCAAGAACCTGGGCGGAGCTTTGACAACCCATCTCCTGAGTGTCCAGATACTGCGGTCCAAATGTCACTTGGAGAGGTCGTCAGCGCTGCGATATTCTGATTGGGCACGTCTAATCAGGTGGGACATGGCAGTCTTTGCTATTCTAGGGCGATTAGTCCTGTTGCTGTACTCACTTGGCATCTTTGCCGTGTGTCACCAAGGTCTGTGGCTTGGTGACGATGCAAGTCCATCCCTGTTTGATATATAAGGCTCCAATAGCATATCGCTAGCTCCAACTTTCCCAGGACCCAACGCCGGATCTAAGCCGTGGCGTACTGAGTACACGACATCTAAGCTGTGCGCGAAACAGAGCACGGCCATGATTCCATTGCCTCGGGTACTACATGTGGGAGGAGAATTGCGACTATCTCCGTTCTTGCAACTATCGAACCATCGATCAGTCGCTGGCGTTACAACGCCATCGACGGATTCCCAGCCACATTTCATGTTACTGGTAAAAGCTGCCACGCGCTATAACCACTGCTCTTAATATTTCCAGGCTTCATGCCGATTCTTGCCCGTTCTATTGTGGGACTTCGCTTTCTGTAACCACATACTATCAGCTTTGCTGGTCTACAAGCAAGCCGCATCCCCCCTTCTGTCTATTGTCAACTAGGTCATCTCCAACGGTAGATCCTTACTCAGCCACATCCACCATGACGGGCGGCCCCTTGCACCACGTGGTTTTTGTGTAGGAAGCGAACGGGCTTATACGAGCATCCGCGTCATCGAATAAATTGCCCGATCAGGCCCAAGAATAGTGACATGTTTCGTGGTCGAGACAAGCTTAGCACTATCGTTCTGGACACATGGCTGTCGCATTGACATTATAAACTATGGATATAAGACATCTGATCACTAATACCTGTCGCAATTGCCGGACTCAATTGGCTGCATCTGGGGCGTCCGCCAAACAAGTTCATCAATCGTGGCTTGCGCGTACACCATCACTAGCTCGCGGCAAAACAGCGGCACATCAGAAAAAGCAAGCATGAACACTAAAACGGTTGCACCTCAACATTGAATGTACATCCATGAGCTGGAGCCCAGCCACAAAGCACTCGGTGTTTAGAATCAACTTGTTCAACTCATACAGTCAGTAACACAATTAACCCAGCCAAGTAAATAAATGTAGGGTCACACTTGATGCAAAATCCCCACTCACAAGTCCCCCTCAGATGAAAAAGGGAACCCGGAAGCCTTGAGCACGGGTAACTTTCCGCTCCACTTGGTCAACAAGGAACCCCCCAGTCCAAGCCTCGTGCATCGATCAGCACTAGAATGAATTGGCTTCCATCAGCAAATAAATCAGCCTAGCATGTATGCACCCGCTGCAAGAAATCAAAATTGCACCATACGACCCCCACCATCACCCACCAAGGCAAAGGGGGAAGGGGGGGGGGAGGACGGGATGAGGATGTCGCATCAACGTCTTGCCTATAAGATATATCAATCTATAATAAGGACAAGGAGTGTACACAATCAACAAGACCTTTCTTATCTCAATAAATCCCAACCAATCAATTCAAAAAACGAAAACCAACAAAGGAAAGTATGCCAGAGACAATGACATTCTTCTCTTTTATTTTGTCTCCGGTCAGCACCGACGGAAGATTGGTTCCGGGCAAACCTACACGCCAGCCACCCCCCCCATCCAAAATCGGCGGCGTAGTGGAGCCGCGTGCTTTTTCTCCAACGCCCCCCGCCCCTCCCCTCGATTCGCAATCGGGGCTTCCGTGTTTCGTGGCGGGCCAGACGGAGAATTTATCGTTCTAGACGCACATGTGTGTGGCATTAGGTGTGTGTTGTGGCGTTTTCGAGTTGCTGATGAGTAGGTGAGTAGGAAGGTCAAATACTAGTTGCTTGGAGCTTGGTACCATGGAATGTGGTCGTGGTTGTGTTCGGGGGGGAGGGGGGTAACTCGATTCTGCTCGTGGTACCATGTAACTGCATACTGCATTCTTCAGGAGATGTTTTTGTGTGTTTGGATAGTTGTGTTACATGCAAGTAGTTCCTAGACATGGACAGAAAGCTAACGTTATGTTCGTTTGCTTAGTCTTGAGAGAAATTGACAATTTTACTTGATGGAATTGACTTTTATGTTGAACGGCTTAGAATGACAGGTTTTACTTTTTCAGTTTGCAATCTTGCATTACATGGATATAAAAAGTATAGTAGAACGAAAATGCTGTTTTGCCTGGTGGTAGAGTAGTTTGTGTAGAACTAGCACGACTGAACTTTTCGTCACGTAATCACAGCGCCATTGACATACGCAGATATCCACATCAATATGTGTCTAGCCAGACGAAGAATCAGAGGCTACACCTCCACGATCATATGTTACCAGCGGGGCCGCCCGTCGTTTTCCAGTTCCAGGTTTCAGCAGAGAAGCGGATCGTGTACCCAGCCGTGATTTTGCCCTCTCGGTTTCAAGATGCAGTGCCTTTAATGCTTGTTGTTGCGGCAATGTTGCATCAGGATCTGTAATAGGCGGGCGTGCAACGAGTCTGCCAACGTACTTGCGACTGTATTCCGAAGCGATATGAGAGATTTCAAAAACCTCGCATTTTCTTGGGAATCTCTGCGTCCATGGAAAGGGCTCAGCTTGGAGCAATGGCGTGCAAAAGTCCACTTCTCCAACGATGATCAAGCCAGCGAAATGATTCGGGTAGTTTTCCTCCGAAAAAATGTCCGTTGCACTGGACATGGCGGAAGAGTCTTCAGTAGTGAGATCGCTCTCTAGAGTGTAAAGCCTCTGGTCAAGCCATGTCCGATCCAATATGTCTCCAGAGTGACTTCGACGATGGCCCTGCAAATGGCTCCAGTGTGTCTAGATGTGCAAGCATCGATTGAAGCACTACAATACGGTCTGCGATACTACGAAAGCAGGAACTAGAGATTCTCTCATCTATGCGTACCACGGCCTTGAGGTAGTTATCATTCAATGCGTCAGCTATGCACAATGCCGTCTGGATTGCGCACTGGCACGGGTTTGTGTGAATGTAGATGATGCCGAATGGAAGCATTTGGTTGATTCGACGGATGGCGACTGCTTGTACATCATGTGAACTCCGTTGCAGACCCTCGAATAACTCGGCATAGCTATCAGGCTGAAAATTCTCGCATTTCGCCAGATTTGGGAACAGGGCGCGTATTGACTCGGAGCTGTTGGAGTGGAACTGGTCTCCAAATGTAGTGGGTAGCCTCCTATCTGACATAATGGTTGGACAAGGCGTTGACGTTGCAATGTTCCGGCATTCAGGTGTGTTAACGAAGTATACCGACTTTTTGGTATTCACTACAAGGTAGTCCAGTTTCCCTTTCAAACTCAGACCTTGTAACAATTGGTTTTGCTTTGCAATCTACTGGGATAAACTTACGTCCACCTGGCTGCGTTGATGTAGAGGAGGTATTTGTATCATTTGGTTGATTGCTCCATTGAGTATCCTGAAGCCATTCAACAACAGCCCGTTGGTCGATGGTACCAATTTCTGAGTTCGAAATGATAACACTTGCAGCTTTGGACAGGGCCCTGCCTCTTGGACTTGAGGACTGCAATGCTGCCTCCACAAGTCTCAACTACGATATGTCAATTGTTGCAAGATCATTTTCCAGATCGTTATGTTGAGAATCCGGTACTGGAATGAGCGTGTGTAGTTTTTCCACTAGAGTTGACAACTTGTCCAGTAGTTCCTCGAATTTTGATTTGTCATGAACCGCCCAGCGTGCTTTTGAAGCTGTGCTAAGGGTACTTCGGTCTGGTAAGGCTTGAGCTGCTCGAATACAGAACCTGGACCATGAGGTGCGAAACAAATTCATGCTGTTCGGACTGAGTAAATTCGTTGATATCGACTGTTTCTTTGCCAAGGTTGCGGTACTGGATTTGACGCCATAACGCTGTTGCAATAAGCTGGCATCTGAGAGAAGACTTTGAATTGCACCTAGCGCATCTTTAACAAGCTTGGAAACTGTCGAGTCTGCCAACCTGGCATGTCGATCCTCTTTCTCGATCTTGAGAATGCCGCTTGAATTTCCCCACAATAATAGTTGTGTTTTTTCAAAGTCCAGCCTGATGAGAAGGTAGATGAGGTCTTTCTCCAGATTTCTCCCTTGGGAAAAGGTCTCGAAGCATTCGACGCAGGTGTTGAATAGTGTTGCTAGTGCAACAGCACTGAGTGCTAGACCGGCAACCTCCATTGCTGTATAAACAAATGACGGACAGTAGTTTAGAGTGTGGCAGAGACGGAGGGGCACAGTGAGCTCCTTGTTTTGTCGTCGGAGGCTGTGCAGGTTGGGCAGGCTGAGCAGCCGTCTGATGCAGGAACCACCAACACGTGTCTTGCATGTTGTGTAACGTCACCCCTTTTACACTAAACATGCGCGTAGCACACAATACACCTAGCTAGACTAGAAAATGTTTTGCAAAGAACTAGTCATATACAGTGTGTCATTGCGCAGAGCATCTCACTACACAAACAAGGACGTCAATCATGATTCTTGATGGGCGGAAAAAGAGATTCATGTCAAATGCAGATGCTCACTATTGACAAAGCACAGATATATGTAGTACTCATTTCATTCATTCAGATTATTCTTGTCATTGCATTAAGTCGACCCCGCGACACACAGGCCAGTCATCATTCATTCGATCCAACTCCAAACATTTGCTAGTATATCTACTTCTGCGCCTCCTCTCTCTTTACTCTGAAAAATGCTAGTTTGGCAAAACGTCCTAACTGGTCCCAGTAGTGTCGACCGGCAGAGTGATCCATGATTCGCTCTAGTAGCTTGACGACTGCCATGCGGACATCCTGTCTGGGGTGGAAAAGGCCGAGACTGAGGTAGAAGAGACCGGCATCGGGTATAACGCAAAGCAGCTGGAGAACGGTGTCGTATTGTAGTTGGGCATTTACTCTCCTTGCAGACTCGTTGCTGATATTAAGCGACTGTGCCATTGATGAGAGGTCGGTTGATGAAGCAGTGGTGCTCTCACTAGGTGAACCTGCTTCTTCCACGCACCGTGCAAGTGCGAGATAGATGGCTGCCGATTGATCATGGGTGAGCTTCAGACATCGCAGTTTGTCATGCTGGTGGTGCATGTCGAGACCTCGCACTGGCCTCTTGCCCCAGCCCTTTGCAAGATCCTGGATGTAACTATAGTAACTTCTGGTGTTACGCCAGCCTTCGATTCGATGAACATTTGCTGCAAGCTCGCGGAGCTTGGAGCCTTCATCTGACCAGACGTAACCATGCCCAGAAACACCATATGCACCTGTTTCCGTGTCATGAGCGCCAATATACAGTGCTGATGCCCCGTAGACGGTTTCTTCAAAGGCGGCTGCGATGCGGGTGAATTTAAGCACCCAGGAGCGCCATTTTGCCCGAATTGCGTTTTCTCCATGACGGTTGGCAATGCTTTCGAGAAGTTTGTCCATGAACTGATTGTCGCCGGTAGGATCAATACCACCACCCTTACTGTCAAGGCCCGATTGTCCATTGAGTCCATTCAAAGGGAGGCCTTGCTGCTGGAAAAACAATGATCCCTCTGTGGGTGAGGCTGACTCGATTCGATTGCTAATCTTCATACGGCCAGTAGGGAGGTCGCACAGGAGGTCCCACCACTCTGGCTTGTAGGAAAATGCAGGATTGGTGACGCCAGCGATGAAGCCAGGTACTTTGAGCAGGTCGTCCACTTTAGTAAGATCGGTGTATGGAAACGCATGTCGCACAAAGCCGCGTAGTATACCGCCAGATGCCAGGGCGCATGCTGCCAGCACAGCCTCTGCGACTTCGCCTGAAGGGCGATTGTGTCCGATAAAGATGATGCGCTTCTGGGTTAAGAGAGCATTGACGAGAACAATGATTGGATGCGTGAATGCACCGCTCGTTGTCAGATGCGGGTGCAAGGCAAATGGCTGCGGTTGTGTTGTGTGAGGGGTGGAGAAGGTCTGTATGAGCTTGATGAGGGAAAAGTCGCCCACGGTTTCCGGACTTAGGGAAGTTGGAATCTTGACAGGCACGGGTATGCCGTTGTAATCGATCTTGGACTCAAACTCGTGAGTGTCCCGGGGGATGGTATATACTTTCCTCTTAGATTGAGGATCCGATGCAGTTTCGTCCGCCTCTTTTGCAGCATCCTGCTTCTTCCTTTGGCGGACCATGAGCTCGAATTTCTCTACAAACATGTCCTTTGCGTCGCTGGCGCCCAGCACAAAGCTCTCAAGATGAGACAATTTCGGCAAGAGCGACAGGTCCATGGAGTTGAGGGCATTGTAGAGCGAGGCAAGTGTTTCTAGGACCGGCGCTCTGAAGTACTCCTCGAGCGCTAATAACAACAAGGGCTTGTATATGTGCAGAAAAGGATGGCGAGTGCATATGGCCATGGCTTTCACAATGGCACCTCTATGTAGAGTCAGTGTCTGGTAAACTCGTTTGTCGCAAGTTGGTCAGGGCTGCCCTACCTCTTCACGGTATTGTCCTGTTTGGTGTTGACCAGATTCAGGACGTAGACCAAGGGTGGCCCATCTGGATCCGGCCCGCTCTCGCTTTCTGTGTCGTCGTCGTCGTCTTCGTCATCATCATCGGCCTCGAGTTCGTTGTCGCTGTCGCGGTCCTTGCGCGCTTCGGCGGGGGAGGTGGCATTGTCATTGTCGTCTTCCAGACCGTGCTTGCGCCGCCTTCTCCGTCGCCTGCGCTCTCTCCGTGCCTCGCGCTCCTCCTCGTCGGCGGTTGTGTCCTTGTGCAGAAAGAAAATGGTCCAATCCTGGCTCCGGACGTGGGCCTGATCGGGCAGCATGAGCTCGGCTAACATGGTCTCGTCACCGCTTATAGCAGCGGGATACTGGTGCTCCATGATGGAGCCGCGGTCAATGTCAAACGAGGCGACGAGTATGTACTCGACATGGTTCTCGACGGCGTCGGCAGGATACTGGGGGCGCAGCTTCATGCCGGCTCTTGCGTGGGACATGGCGGAGAGGTGGCGGAAAGGGCCGTCGCGCTCCGACTGGGTTGAGTCGTTCTCTTCGCCCTCGCGCAGCATGGGGGGCTGCGGGGAGCGGGATTTGGGGTAGTGGCCATTGCGGGTAGATGGTGAGCGCGAGGGCGGGAAGGAGGAGAAGGAAGGCTGGCGTTGCAGCGTCAAGGGCTGGGCAGGACTGGGACCGCCTGGTCGCTGTGATATGACTTCGGCCATGAGTGTTTGTTCTCCCTCTGCTGCACTACTATGTACGGGGCCCTGGTTGCTCGCATTCCCTATAGATCTACAGGCGCTAGCGTTAGGGGGGCTAATGCTACAGATGGTCCGAAACCAATGTCACCCTCACGACCACGGCGGCAGCCAGTCGGGACGAGGGGAGAAGAGGTAGGGGACACGAGGCGCGGGCTCCATGGCGCTGAGGTGGGCGGCGGTGCAGGTGCATGCATCCCAGCGCCCGAGTGCATTCACGAGTAGGAAGCGTACTTACAAGAGTCGACATGTGCGTCCATACGTAGTCCATACATAAGGTTAGTTATAATAATAACATGTATCCGACGTATGGGCTAACTGCATCTGCTGGCGCCGGCGGGCTTATCGATTGCCTAGTTCCCCCCCAGCCCAGCGCACGCCTGGCCTGGTTGCTGGGCCACGCCGCCTTGGCCGCAAAACACCAGCCACGGTCAACAAGCGCCGTCACCACTATGCGACAACGTTATCACACTGTACTGACGCCCTCCCCCAACCCCCAACACAGACACACGCACATACCACGCGCTCATGGACTCGACCACGCCCACCCCCTACAAGCCCTCGCCGCTGTCCTTCAACAACGCCCGCCAGTCGCCCTTCCGCCGCCCGGGCTCCATCAGAGAGGCTTCCCCCTCGACCCTACGGCCCTCGACACCAAACAGCTCTCCTCTCAAGCCCAAGGACACGCCCAATACCCCCTCGCAAGCAAACCTCCGCCCGGCCGCTGCTGCTGCACCCGCCCCTGCTACCGGACCCGCATCACAAAACCCTCCGCCATGGCTGCACACGCGCACACGATCAGGCACGCCTGAACCACCCGCTTCGCCTGGCCGCCATGTCTCGCCCACGCGCAATGCACCACCACCCACGGCCCAAGGCACCGGACGCCCTCTGAGCACGGCGTCGATTGCTGCCATGTTCGAGGGCACCGCCAAGGATGATACGCCGGCACCTCTCTCCTTCCGCAAGCAGTCGCCGCCTGTTGACCCTGTCAAGCCGGTGGAGAGGCCAATTGAGAAGCCAGTCGAGGTTCATGTAGATCGCTTCGCACACCTCTCGCCAGCGCCCTCACCCGCACGCTCACCTGCACGCTCGCGCGAGGCTTCGCCCGGGCGACTGGCAGCCCGGCCACAGACCATCCGGCGAATGGCCTCGAGTGACGCTCTTTCCAAACTGCCGCCGCCCCTCCTACACAGTATGCGAGAGTCGTTTAGTGTCATGGACCGCGACGACGATGGCCATGTAAATGCTGCAGATGTGGCCGATATGCTGTCCCAGCTCGGTCTCTCTGCGACCCCGTCCCAGCTCTCGACATACTTCAACGGCGCACAATCCATCAACCTGGCCAACTACCTGACAACACTATCCGATCTGCTGGGCAACCTCTCGCACCAAAACGAGCTGAGCGCAGCTTTTGAGGCATTCGATGACAACGACGACGGACAGATTGACTTGGCAGAGCTAAAAGATGCCCTGCTACATACGGCACCGCAGCCAGGCGAAACGCTGCTTACCGAACGGGAGATCAACATGGTGGTCGAGGGTTTCAGTGGGCGGAGAGCCTTTGGAAAGGGAGGCAAGGGTCTGGGCAGAGGAGAGGTGTTTCGATATCACGATTTCCTAGCAAATCTGACTGGCGGTGGCAATGGCGGCGACAATGCCCAAGGTGCCGCTGCGTCAGTCTAGTTGTGTTTGTAATATGCATTGCTGCATTCCCTCACGCCTCGAGTTTGCGGCGTTGTATCATGTTATGGAATGAATGTTGATGGCCTGGTGCCTTTGTCGGACGGCATGGAACGGACATGCACAAAATACATATTATTAATAAATGGAATGGAATCTGAGCCTAGCCATAAAAGGCTGTTTTCAACTATGTGTTAGCGTAATGAGGATTGGCTTGTGAGAGTTGTTGCTGACGAAAAGGTGGGAGAGCCAGCTGGAACAATAGTAGGGCTTTTGTCACTGAGGTTCCATGCACACATATCTGGGGACCCTGGTCTTTGTCAAAAGTCGGTGACAGCACCGTGAGCCATGATTCGAACGACCGCCTTTGCTTTTTCTCTACCAGACCGGATGACATGCGTTGTTAGCACGATACGCGTTGGCGTGTCTTGTGCATCGTCTTCCTCATGGGATTCGGGCGGAGCTGTCGGTGAGATTGCGTGGCATCGTGTCTTGCCCGTCGCAATGGCATGCCGTCATTGTGCCTGCACGGGGCACGAGTCAAGGGCGGCCAAGCATGGGGGAAAGAATGGAGACGAAAACGTGGCCCAGTGCCTCGAAGCTGTTACCGTGGGTTCGCCGTGGTGTCTTGAACCCTGTTGTTGGTGTGTTGTCACGACGGGCGGTGGGCATTTCGATTGGAGGGCGGGGCACGTGATGTACAACACATTGGCGCAGATTGGGCAGCTCCGTAAATCGCCATCCACTCGTTCGCGAATCTGTGCAAATAGTGTCGCGGTGGCTCTTGAAGCGGCTAGCAGTAGTGAGTTGGTCGGGAAAAGTCACAGGTGTAGTCGCATCTAGCACCCTCATTGGGCCCGTTTGCTGCAGCACAGACATCGTTCGCGCGCTGCAAGAGCGATTGCAAAGCTTCCAGCATTTTATATCTACCACTCGGCCCCTCGTCGCCTCTGCCATTTCTCCGCATCCAAGATGAGTGGTCCTGGTGAGAATCGGTAGGTCCAGAGGAGCGCCCATCCGCCTTGCTGCACATTACTGACCACATGTCTCACAGCTGGCGACGGCAGGGTCAAGCCAACCGCAACTCAGGCGCAAACACCCCCACCAAGGACGCTGGTGGCCGGCCGCAGTCCATGGCCGCCGCACCTGCGGGCAATGTCTGGGGAACCAAGCAGGCAAAAGCCTCGGGTCCTACGCCGGCTGCACAAGCTCAGGCCCAGCCCGAGCACCATGTGCCCGTCAAAGACTTCAATGCCAACGAGGTCAAGGAATTCCTCAAGAAGAGTATGTTCCCCGAGCGTACAAGTCACGGCACAATACTAACTAGAATGTAGAATACCTCGAGAGTACCGCCAGTACGAGCCCCGTAGTTTTCCACGCACATGGCCTAGTAGTGCTAACATGAGCCTTGTAGACCAGCCAGCGGTATATCACAAGGTCCCGGGTGACTCGGTGTCGAACAGGAGCAGCGGAGCATGGGGCAAAGGCGGTAAGGCGCTTATGTGTAGCAAATGCTTGCAGACATGGAATACTGATTCGACGCAGGCACCATGCCGCACCTCATGACAACGGGGCAGGACTTCTTCACGCAGCTCAAGAAGCAGCTGGCGACGATGGACCAGACCAAAGCAGCGCAATAGCTGCAAACAGGCGATGATTGTTTGAGCGGCATTCGGGTAGGCATTGCAGGCGTTCTTGGGCATGGTTTTCTGGGTGGCTACATGGCAGCACCTTGCAGGAGCATGGTACGACTTTGAAAGGGAAAAAAAAGGCGTTTTGGAGCCTGCGAAGGTACATGTTGTCCGGGCTAGCATCATGACAGGCGATGGCCATGTGGTTGACGACAGGGTCATGGGATTTGTATGTATGTATGTATGTATGCTTGTAGAGATGCACGCAGGGACCAGGCTGGGATAGAGGAACAAAGGGACGTGGGTATCTTTCAATACGAGCCTCGAACCGGCAGCTGCATGGAGCATTCTGACATGGACATTTGCAGAATCAGATGGTCAAGTGAGGCGTCTAGTAGTGTGTAGATGTGTGCTGGCTGTGGTGGGCGTGGTTGTATATGACCAGGATACCCATACCTTCTCTCCTTTGCGAGGGACCGTCATTTTCTGACAGGCCAATCCCAAGCAGGCAGGGCAACAAGCGGCAACTAAACACTGTGTGCGAGGGGACCTGCTGTGTGCAACCACATCATCGGCTTTGTTGCTAGACTGTTTATCAGTGTTGCGCCTGTCCTGTTCTCCCGCTCTGCACTCACACAGAATACACGTAGACAAATACCGTACGTACCGCCAAGCGCCGCCAGTCGCCAGTCGCCTCGCAGCACCGCCGGTACCTTGCATCGAGGCTGCAGTTGCGCAACCACAGCCGAGCCCGCAACCTCAAGTTTAGGGGTACCAGTCACCGTCCACACGCCGCTACCCCGCCACGCACCTCTCCTTTTGCGACTCCTGCTCAGCACGCACCGCTGTTGCTTGCACGAGGTTGGGCCCCATCGAGCCCTCGGCTGCCAGTGCTGCGCGATAGAGGCGCATTGCGCTCCTTGATCACGCTCGGTTGATCCCCGATTGGGCTCTCCTAATGCGGTCCGCCTTTCCTTGACCAGCGACTTCACGATCCTCGGACGCGTTCGGCGCATTCCCATCTGGCCCTTGATCCACCCACCCATAGCGCCATGTCCTCTCCACCAGACACACCGACTCACCGTCCTCTATCCTCGCACCGTCGACACCCCGACAGCCTGGACATGTCCCACAACAACGCTTCCAGGCGCCAATCCTTCAACCGACGCTCTTCCGGCTACTCGCCCATAACCCCGCGCTCGTCGCACGACTTTGACGACGCCTCTGCACACAACTTTGACGGCGCCATAGACGGCAATGGCCTCGGAAACCTGGCCGACGAGCTGGGCGAGATATGGGACGACGATGACGACGCCATAGACGGCGACTACGGTGACGACATAGACGAGTCGCACGGCGACCTCGCCGCCATCGGCACCGCCATCGAGCACGACGGCTCCTATGGCGTCGACAGCGTAGCCAGTCTCAACGGTGTGCGTGATAGTGGTGTGGCCATGCAAGACTCTCCTCCCACTGGCCTCAGCCCTGCCTCGGCTGCAAAGTTAAAAAAGCACAACAGGCAACGATCGCTGTACGACGGCTCCGACTATGGTGACGACTCCGACCTGGACAACGAGGGCATATCACCGGCGCTCGAGTCGAGAATGGCAGCTATTGAAAGCCTAGCACGGCGGGGCATGGAAGAGAATGGCAGCCCGTCAGACGAGGTGGTCAAGCGAGTGACGGAGCAACTGCGAGACTTGGGCAGCCAGATTGCCATAGAGAACGGATCCACACGGTAATTTCATTCCTCTCCCTTTGTATGATTTTTGCTAACAGAAGAAACAAACAGGCTTAAAACGGCTCACGATGCTCTCACAACGCACCTAACTCACCAGTCCCGTACCCTAACATCTCTAGCCGCCTCCTTCTCGGGTCCACGACCCATCCTGCCCGATCCAGAAACCATCGAAGAACTTTTGCCAATCATACAATCAACCCTGGATTTGCTTCCCCATTCTTCCGCTGAGCCACTCGTTGCCCTGTCCCATCTCACACACTCGAGCCGTGAGCTCCTGCAACATCTCGCAAACGTAAGCGACACGCTGCACATGTCCCGGCAAACCACCATGAATGCCACCCGTAGGCTCAAAGTTAGCAAAGAACAATTACAGGACTGGAAACGCGACAATGAACGGACAAAGGAGGCACAAGAGTACATTGAGCATGGAGACTGGGACCGGCGACTCAAAGAGAGGGAAGCCAAACGTGCGTGTGCAGACGTGCTGGATGGATTCGAGGATGTTTGTGGACAATGGAGAAAGAGGCTTTGCGATGGCCTGGGCGCGACTACTGGGTAGAACTCGCCTTGCGCACCTTGCTAGTAACTTTCTTTTCTTCCTTCTTTCTCTTCTTTCTCTTCTTCCTCCTCTTCGCTACTCTACACGTGGAGAGATTTCGCTGAAAAAAAGAATAAGACTAATATAGAGTCTGTAGCATCTTTAATGGCGATGCGAATCAAGAATATTCGGCAAAGCATCTCGGCACTACAATACGGGACTTTTCCATGTTTCCAGATGCTAGGGAAACGAAATTGGGGCGTCCCTGGCGGATTATACTAGACGGATCGTAGTTCCTTTTTTGTGTTTCTTTTGTTTGGGAACAAAAATGTGGATTTTTTTCTCTGTTGTCTATCACCCTACCCTTTTTTTTTCTTGTCTCTCTCCTTTCTTTTACAAATTTCATATGTACATTTTTGCATCGTCATGGTCGTATGGTGTTTTTGGATGGGCATTTGATAGATGGAACCTTGGTAATACCCCTCCCCATTTATACACTTGGCTTTCTGAGGACAAGCATGTAGTAGCAAATATTGTCGATCGTTCTATAGATGAGAGAATGAAAGGTAGTACAAATTGAAACGGGTCAGTGATTTGATGTGTGGGTGATACGGGGATGAACAAAGGTACTAATAACTACAGAGAGACTAACAGTGTATGTATGTACATGTATATCCAGGTTCTATGCAAGCTTCTGAGCTGACCTAACGTCGCTTACCCCAGTTCCTTGCACAATCTTTGCTTCGACAATCCCGTACACGGGTATCTCCTGTAACCTCTCGACAATGTGGTGTAGTGTGGGTAGTGCCTTCCAATCAAGTGCGTCAAACGCTATCTCGGCCGTCGAGGCAGTAAGCGTCTGCTCAATCTTCTTCTCCACCACCTTGCTGTCCTCATCGCCAGGCAAGAACGCAGTGTACTCGACATCCGCCTGTCCACGCTGCTTGCTACCCGCACTCGCAGTAGCAGGTATGTACTTGTGGAACAGCAGGCCATCGTCTCTGGGAGGTGCTGGCTGGACAGCAGGAGCCTCGCCGTTTGCAGTACCAGCTGGTTGCAAACCTGAAAGCTTCATGGAGCAGAACTTCGACGACATCCAACTCGCCTCCAACACGCACTTGTCGTCCGTCCTACTCACCGCCAGATCAGCAAATACCTTGGGAAACCCGAGTTCCTCCCTCCCACTCAAAATCGGATCCGCAAGGTTCTCAAACAGCACCGGCAAATACGTTCCTACAACCGTATCCCCATCCTCCTTCGTATACTCGATTCCATGCACATAGAGCCCGAAATGACTGTATCCTCGTCCACCCAGCCACTCGAGATTACCAAGCTGCGTGACTGCGAATGTAGCAAACGCCGTCGTATCCGTACTGGCAAACTTAAACTTGCCATTCGGCGGCAGCAAATTCTCCAACACCGTCCTACTCGTCCTTACTTTGACACTTGCCGTCGAAAACGTCGCACCGCTTCCATCCCTCTGCCTCCCGTAAAAGTCCTGACGCGGACCAGGCATGGGTCCAAATGCAGTTGGCATTCTCCACAGCAGACTCTTGTTATTCTCCCACTCCCATTTCCGCAGCATCTGGCTGGAATAGTGCCATTCGTCGTGGCCGAAATTGTAGTTTGTGAATTTTGTAGTGTCGAGGGGTGGGCCTGTGCCCAGGTCTTTACCGGCGACGCGTGAGTATTCTTGGATTGTGCTCGCGCGGTCGTAGCGACAGCGCTCGTAGAGTTTGAGGCGGGAGGGGATGGAGGAGTGGGGTACGCCTATGGGAAGCATGACGGCGAGGGAAGCGGCGTCTTCGATTGCTTGGCCTGCGCCTTGTCCTTGGTCTGATTATCATTAAACAAACGAGTTAGTTTCCGTTTCATTTTATTCTTCTGAAAGCGGGTTTTGGGAGGGTGAACTTACGTGGAGTAAAAGGATGAGCAGCATCACCTATCAAGACTAACTTCCCTTCTGTCCAACTAGGCAACTGCTCCATATCCAGCAATTCCCACACTTTCAACGTCTCTTCATCCGCCATACCCAGCAGCTTGAGTACCGCAGGCTCAAACTCCTTGTACACCTCCAGCATCTTGCCCAGGTTTCCTTGATTCTGCCAATCACTGCTTCCAGGCTCTTGCGCATCAATCTGGCTCTCAGACGTAGGATGAATGCACACGAAATTCAGAAGCGTATTGTCAGACGTTGGGTACACGACGACTCTCCTGTCGCGAGCAAAGATCATAATCAGATGGCCCTCTTTGTCTGCAAACTTGCGTGTCTCGGGGTCATCAAAGGCTTTTTGGCGGGGAATCAAGAAACGGAATGCACTCTTGCCACTACCAAAGACTTTGATGTTTTCTGCGCCTGGGATCCGCAGACGGGTTTTGGAATGGACGCCGTCTGCGCCGACGATGATGTCGCTTTGGATTCTTTCGCCGCTCTCCAGCACGACAGTGCCTTCTTTGGGGTCTACATCGACGACTTTGGAGCGGAGCTTGAGTACAGCGGGCTTGCCTTTTCCTTCTTCGCATGTGGCAAATCGCTTCAGTTCGCTGTGTAGACTCACGCGGTGGGCGAGTTGCCAAGGGTGCTGCCACCGTCCTGCGCTTTGTGATAGGTCTATACTAAAGAGTTCCCGCCCGTTGGGAAGCATCTGCGTTATCTGCTTGCAACTGACTGCGCCTTGTGCCTCGGGACTCAGGCCCATGCGGCGTAGAAGGCCATTGGCGTTGGGGGCGAGATGCACAGCGGCACCCAATTCATTGGAGAAGCCCGAGGCTTCGAGGAGAGTCACCGTGTGGCCTTGTTGTCGGAGGAATATTGCTGCACTCAGACCGCCGATGCCTGCTCCGCAGATTGTGATGTTGAGGGGCCTCTGGGAGGCGTCGTCGTGTCCGTTGACGCCATTGACATCATTGATACCGTTCGTGGTGGTACTGTTTGTAAAGTCCATAGTTACGGCGCAAGATACACTGGACGAAAAAGAAGACAACGAAGCGGTACCAAGAACTGAAAGTATAGAAGTGAAAAAGGATTGATCCTGAAAATCAGAATAAAAACCAGCGAACTTGGCTTTGATTCCCACTTTTTGCTCCTAGCTACACCGTGGTCACACCAAGGTTCGGTTCGTGGAAATAGATCCTTTTGCCCCCCCCCCTCCTCCTCCTCCTCCTCCTCCACTTCCCGGGAATAGTCTCTCCTGCAGGTGACCGCATGAACGCATGTTTTAGGCGTTCTTCCACTTTAGGATATGTTGGATCTCGCATCTGAATGGACGAGCGAGTTTTTGGCTGTTTAAATGGTGTATGTTGTGTGGCACGTTGTGAGATTAGGTTGCATTTGGGAAAATGCATGTCAGCAGGAATGCATTCACTGTACCGAGGGAACGATGTAGGTTAGTGGGTTATTACTAAGCCAGTTTCCAGATGGAGTAGATTGCTGTTTTTGCATCTCAAGTGTAATACGAGGAAATGTACATGCGCATCACTTTTCTCAACGACAAACCTCCTTCTACATTACCCCGATTTCCAACAGAACAAAAAAATAGAATAAAAGACCCAGCAACTCCCTAAACCTCTCAAACCCATTCAAAAGACTTCACCACTCGCCACCAAGTTTATACCCAACATTCCACACTCGCCCAAATGAATTCCTCCAAATCTTGGACATTGCCTATATCTCCCTGTTAGCCACTTCCCTCTCTCTCAAGCCACCCCCTTCTCCCTTCCCCCCTTAAAAAAAAGATCAATTGAACTCACCGACTCCAAGAGCACACCCGTAAACATCACCCCCACAAACGTCTGCTCAATCCCATTCAAATACACCCTCCTCTCACTCTGATCCAACTGCGTATTCACAGGCCTATACACCGGAACACGGCGATGCTGCGTCGTAGGCCAATGACTCGGATTGTGCTGTGCATTCGCTGCGGGATTGGGATGCGCATTTAGAGTAGCATCGTGGCCGCCTTCTGTGGTGTGGTGGAGATCGTAGTCTGCGAGGGTGGCGGCGAGGGTGTAGTGTGTTGGGTTTGTGGTTGTTGTTACAGACATTGTTTCGCTGTTTGTTGGGGGAGGGGGTATGGTGAAGGGGGAAGGAGAAAGTGGGAAATGGTACTGCGGTTTATTGTTGTTCACCGAAAAGACACGGGTGGAAAGGTTGGATGTCGGGGATTACCAAATGGTCGTGTTTCGTCGCGCTGGGAAGACGCGGAGGCGGCAGCGGGCGGGACGGAGGGGGGGAGAATGTAGTGGGGCGCTGGGGGTCGGAATGTGGGGGAGCATGGGTGTTGCGTGTTCCGTACTGGTAAGTCGTCGTCTCATCGCATTGCCGTCGGGTTGGGTGGGACATGATACCGGTGTGGTCCAGGGATGTTTTTTCGCGCTTACATAGTAGTAGAGATTTGCTGCTTTACTCCAGTTTTCGACAATTCTGTTGTGATTTTCTTTGCCTGTTCGGTTTTGCAGTCTCATCATGTCGTCGTCGCCAATTACCCCCGAAGCCGCGCTGGAGATCCTCCAGGCGACGGCCCTCACAGCACGCTGCCACAACGCCTTTCTCAGACAGAAGCAGCTCAAGTCGCTGCATGATGCGCTTCGTAATAGTAGCGATGCTATCAGGAACGCTATCAAACAGGATACGCATGTATCTGACGAGGAAGCAACTACAGAGGTTGCAGTCGTCCTCGACCTAGTCAAAGAGCACTATGCTTCCATTGATGCGACAAAAGAGCTGGAAGCGGAATACCGCATCACAAATGGCAAAGATGCCAGTGACAGAAGAGTACCGTGGGGTGTTGCGTACATTGAGCCGCAAAAAAGCCATACACCTTTCTTTTCGGTCCTGTCACCTTTGAGTGCAGCTATTGCAGCGGGTACCTGTGTAGCGCTCAAGGTAAGCATGATTTTTGGATTTCCTCTCAACGATTCACAGCTAACACAAAAAAAAGCTTGAAAACAACCTCCGAGCTCTCCCCTCTCTTCTCCGCAAGCTCCTCACCGAAGCCCTCGAATCTGACACCTTCCTCATCATCACCTCCTCCCCACCTGCCGACTCCCTCTCAACCTGCCTCCAAGTCCTCCAAGAGACGCAAATCAGCCAACCCACATACTCTCAGCACATCTCCCCTCAAGGCAAAGTAATCGCAATCGTAGACCGCACCGCGGACCTCTCCACCGCGGCCTCGCACCTCGTCACTGCCCGCTTCGCCTTCGGCGGCACATCCCCCTACGCTCCCGACATAATCCTCGTAAACGAATTCATCAAAAAAGACTTCCTTGAACATGTCCTGCAGCTCTCCTTCCGCTACCTCGCCGGCTCTGGCTCCCTCTCCAACGGCTCCTCTCACCCCAACTCCCAACAAAAATCATCATCATCACGGATATCCGACGCCTTCTCCACCCTATCCTCGTCAAAATCCTGGGATGTGACAACCATTTCCCAAGGCGACAACGGCGCCATCGTCGAACTCTCAAACTTATCTTCCCTCCCTCCAAAATCCACACAGCCCATTCTCGCAGTCTCGCCCATAACATCGCTCGAGCACGCCATCAGCCTCGTCGAGCAAGACCTCTCACCGCAGGACACCCTACTGGCAAGCTACCACTTCGGCGCCAACGCCACGGCAAAGTACCTCTCGCAATTCGTGCCGGCAGCCGTGTCGTTTGCAAATGGCGTCCCGTTTTCGCTGCTGCTGGGTCCCGCTGCCCCAGAACTTTCATCGCAGGTCCCCTTTGATGCGGAGAAGAGGTATACGGTTGAGCATTTTTCAAGGCTGGCGCCCGCGTTTGTGACGGTGCCGGCTACTCAGAAGGTGCTGCAGAGGGTGCTGGGGGGTAAGGAGGGAGCGAAGGTCGCGAGTGAGATGTTGGGTAAGGCGGCGCAGGAGATTAAGGAGGTGAAGCGGAAGGAATCGATTGCGATTGGATATTTTGAGCAAGGTATTTTGATTGGGTTGGGGGTTTACGGTATCCCGCTCTTGACGTGTATTGGGGCATCGTTGTTTTTTGGGGTTAGGGCTGGGTTGAGGAAGTTTGCCTTTATATAAGTTTCAGTTTTTTTTCTAATGAGGATTTGGATCGGCGGGTGGGTGGATATGATTCGTAGATGTATTCAGTCAATTTCTTTGTTGTTTACCTAGGTGAAATGAGAGAAGTAGATTTCAATATTCATTGGTAGTTAACCAAGATCCATAATAAAATCAAAGCATTTTTTTTTCTTGCTATATACATTCTTTGTGATGTACAAGGACATCATCATGGATCAGATGAGACCATCCAATGAGCATACATACAAACATACGTGCATACAAACAACGTAAATCATGCAAACCACATTAAACATCTGACATAAGAAGCCTAACTCGGCTTTCCATGAGGAACCCACTTTGCGGTCCAAATACGCAGCCTCTTACCCCAGATAAGCATGGGAATAGTAAGCAAGCCGAATAGGCCCATGAGCATGCCAAAGATGCCAAATGGCTCCGCCGGACCTTCATGCATGACCCACTCGCCGACGAAGAAAGACCAGGCAAAGCTAACCGCTGCGCGCGCCGAGGTGATGGCGACGAAGCAGTCACCAGCAAGGCTGCCATACGCTTCAATGATATAGTTGAAGCCCACCGATGGCGCTTGCATGAGACCGAAAGCGACAAGGCCAAGTCCAAACTGCAAACCCACCCAGCCCGTCGGCGAGGGGTTCTGCGCTACGAAGCCGAAGATGAGTGAACCGATGGTAGCGGCGAAGAGGGCAGGGAGAGCGGTGACGAGACGGGATTCTGGTTCAGAGAAGCCGTGCTGATCCTTCTTTGCGAGACGTTTGGTCGTGAAATCAGCGACGAAGTATGTATACACCTGAAATACCCAGGAGAATTAGTAAATGTCTGGACCGGAAGGGTTGCTGGGGCCCAAAAGACTTACACAGCCTAGGATAGTCCCAATGATGCCGCCAATGTTGATCAGGCCGACACCTTTGCCCCAGAGATATGGGGGTTTGCCAACAAGCTGAGGAGCCACTGTTGACATGGTTACCTAAACCAGGGTCAGTGATATAACTTTTGTAAGATCATTCGTATCATCTTCACTCACAATCAATCCAACGAGTCCAGCATACCAGCCTGAAACCAGCCACACTCCAGGTAGCCGGAGGACCTTGTAAGGAGCCAAAAACTTGGCACCAATGCCTGGCTGATATGTGATGAGCCTTAGCGAGCGGAGGTACGAATAGGAAGGGTACGTGGATGGTGCTACGGAGCCAGCAACGACAACACTCTCCTTTGTATCGGCAGTGATCTTGTTTGAGACCTCGTTGTCGGATGCGTATGAAGTCTGTGGACGGTCGTACAACGTCTCGGCTTGGAATACGAGGCAGAGAGCAAAGCTAATGGCTGAAAGGACAACATTCATCCAGTGTAGCCAGGAGAGACCCATGGGTCCGACAATGTATCCACCACAAGTAGCGCCGACAAGAGACCCAAAGGCAAGAAAGGAAGTGTAGATGGCCTACACACAACGCTGTTAGCATCCTGGTATGTGAAGAATCTTCTGTCACAATCACATACCATAGCACGTCCACGCTCGTGAACGAAGAATATCTCGCCAACCACATCCGGACTGACCGCGTCGGCAGGTGCTCCACCAATGCCCATGAATATACGCGCAGCCAGTAGACTATCAAAACTTGTCGCCAATCCTGCCCACATGCTCGAGAAGACTAGCAACAACAAGCTAAGCAGAATCACGGGGCGACGCCCAAAGGTATTTGCCAAGGGCACCCACCACAGGTTGGCCATTCCCAACATAAAGACATTGACTGCAACGAGGTATGTCAATTGCGAAAACCCTTTTGGAGGGAGCCCAAGTATTGGTGTCGACGCGTATATCGGCAAAGCACTAGAGATCGACGAGGCAGTGAAGTTGACCACAAAAGGGTGAATAGACATGACCGCGAGCATTACAAGCTTCCGCCATTTGGGCAGGTTCAGCGGGTCTGCTGGGTCTGATGTTGGCTGGGGTACCAGACGAATCTCATCTTTATTAGTCTGAGATGCTGTCCATTCGAGATGTTCTGATCAGGCAAATCGGTCAGCTCTGGCAACCCCGAAAGTTTGTTGTTGCGTCTTACCAACCAGTGTTGCAGTTCCAGGGGGCCTGGCATTGCGCACCTCCTCCTTGGAAAGCTTGAACGCCGCGCTCAGGGATGTCATTGCGGCTGATGGTACGTACCGATCAGAATGAAAAGCCAGCAAAAACCACAATGGTCACTGGATTGCGGGCACGAGAGCTTCTCAATCTAAATAGGCCAGACAGTACTACAACACAGACTTGCCGTCCTCATCGGTTTGGGTATTGGACGAATCGACATGGGGTTTACCCCAGTTTGATCTCAGATTCCGGGGTCATTCGGAATGTGGGGGGGGGAGGGGGGGCGGGAGTCTGTGTGGAGAAACTATTCTTCAAGTAGCTTAGAAATGCGGGGATATCGCTTTGTCCAGACCGCCCAGGCCTGAATACAATTAATAGTCATTGCCACTTAATGGAAGAGCAGAGCAGCTTGGCGTTCGGACCGACAGGATGAGCTCGGGTTGCGCGTGCATTTTACCGCACTGGGATAAAGCCGCCTGTGGGACCAAACAACATGCACGTCAAATTGCGTGTATCTACAGATAAGAGGGTATATTGCTGAAAGAGCAAGGTATTATTTTCAATGAGCAGTGACCGGCACTTATAGGATTATAGTTTACATAATTGCTCGCCTTCATGCATCGGTGTATTGTTGTGGCGATTACTTTATTGCCGAACGCAGACCTTCCAAAAGCTGCACCAAGTTCCCAACAAGTGGTGGGCACGGTTCTGAGGAATCGTGACGTGTCCGCAGGAGATGTATCAGGCCGTCCATAACCCCGCAGACATCGTTTAACTGGGTTGGGTTGTGCGAACCATATGTTCGTATCGATGGTATGCCCCGATCCAACGTGATAAATTTACGAGCGCTCAGGGAATCGTCTCCGTTAAGAACGACTGTGGTATCTATCTGTGTCGATTCTGGCGCAACAGATCGCTTGAGGAATCCATAGCACCACAGGATCAGCCCGGCATGGTAGACGGCAATGGCGTTGAAATTGTTCAACAAAGCCTTTGGCAACACTTCAGCGGCGCGCAAAACCTGACCAGCATGCCAGAGCGCTTGACGTGCTGAAGGAGTGTTGGCCCAGTCTCGTAGGCCAACGTATGCGATGCGCGCTTCTTCCTGCCCCTCGATACCTGCAAAAAGCTGAATGTCATCCAAAGGTGCGTTAAGATGAACCAGCATGATCTCTAGAGTTATCTCAACACTCTTGTTCATGGGTGGGCAGCTGAGTCGAAAATCCTCGAGCTGTTTGGTAAGATCTTGGTAGCGCGACGATAGTATGAGGCTGTTGTTCGACACGGCCTGTGAGCGAGATGTCACTGTGCACATCTGGCGGTATTCCCAAATCGCGCCCCATATCATGTACAGGAACGTTAGGCTAGCATGGTCATGGTGCGAGAGGTGCCCCAGATTGAGAAAGCATTCCATGGCTGACGGCTTATTTATTGTCATTGGTGGCAGGTTCAAGTAGGCCGCTTTCCAGCTTGTTGCTGATTTAGCCTGCCAAAGAGCGCTGGAACTCGGTAACGGAAGTTGCATCTCAGCATAAGATATTAGTGGTGGCTTGAGCAGTGCCATGGAGGATTGCCTATCAAACTCGAAAGCACGGTAGACCAATCGAAGGAATGATTCTTGCTGAACCCAACTGAGCCATTTGGTTTCCAATGCAGATCCTTGCTCATCTGGCTCCGGGCGGATTTCCTTCCATGTCGACCGGCGGAAGCGGGCGCCTCGCCGAAGCATTGTTACCAGGGGCTGGGTAAAACTTTCTGCAATCTCCATTTTCCGGCTGATGCCACTCCACATGCCCACTCCTAGCTGCAGGAGGAATGTCTGGAGATGTTGAAGATCTCTGATTGCTGTGTTATCCTCTTCAAAAGTCCTAGACTGACCCATCCTGGAAGCTTCGTGCAAAGCATATCCGAGTTTTCGCAGTGAGAAGTCGGGAATTGTGGCAGCTCCAGCGGATGCTATACTCGCAAGCAATTCTGGATTCAGTTTCGAGGGGGAGAAGGTTGGGAGGTGAAACCACGTGAGGGTGTCGAGGGATGGCGAGGTGAGGAAGTACTGGATCAGGCCATCTAGTAACTCTACGCTGGGAAAAGCGGATGCAATTTTCTTAACGTTCTCCGGAGTGCATGTTCCCAAGACTAGGGCCATCAATCGGTCACGGCTTACACGAGGAAGTCTGTAAACAAAGGTTAGATGGTGTCAACGACGGAATCATTGAATGAACAAGCTTCGTCTTACTTTTCCGCAACTACCCGGCGTTGTGCAATGTGGGCGCGCTTGCTGTCTCTCTCAGCATCCGAAAAGGCTAGGTTTACTTGTTCTGCGCTAGGGTTCCGAGAGCTCTGAGGAAGGTAACGCCATATGCTCTGCTTGAAAGCTTCTGCTCTACCTGGTGCCGTGTCGGTCTCTGGGTGAGAATGCTCGGTACCATGAGCATCAGTGGACGGTGTGTCGGCAGCAAAAGGGGCCTGGAAGTTGTACTGATCGAGCAGTCCAAGATCGAGATCGGTAAGACCAACATCGATGTCGAAACTCAGATCCAATATACCACGTGGAGTAGCCTGACCAGAAAGAAAGGCATCGCATGGGGGCATGTTTCGGAAGTAATCTGGTAGAAATGGATTCTGCGCCGGCGTATTGTCAAAGGGTGGGATGGAGGTATCAAAAAAGGACATTGCTGAAGTATGGTCTTGATCTTCAAAGTTATGGTTCATTTGAACCAGCCCATTGCCAGTGTTGGGTGGTGGCTGCATGGTGTTCATGACTGATGTGCTTGTGTCAGAGCCTCTACAACCAGCAGAGTCAGTTTTGGTACTATTAGAGTCCACTATGGACAGATGTTGAGAGTTGTGGAATGGTTCTGGTGTCTGTGAGGTTGTAGACACCGGGGGATTGGTATTCCCGCTC